CGTATTTTGGATGCTTGCTTTTTGAAAGCAAACATATGTGATAGCCAAGGTTTCTGGATAGCTCAGACGGCGCTAAGGAAATGCCCGTAGATGTTAGCCCCCGGAAAGTCAAGAGCCAAATGCATCGCGCTTTTTACGCCGGATAAATAATCGGTCATAAGAGATGACCAAATCGCGGGACAATAGCCTCGGGCCGGGGAGACCACTGCCCTTGGCTCCTTACATGTACAGTCATGCTAACTAACTCTCCGAAATATGTAACAGTGACGAGTCAAGTCTGTTTTGCCTCCATGACAGATGAGATTGTTGAGCAAAGTGGAGATCTGAAGTCCATGATGTCGGCACCTGGTAGGCGTCTGCTCTTTTCAACATTGCCACTTCATAGTAAGGGTGACTAACTCGTCTACCAAAGTGATAGCCATGGGAATGGCCTGCGTTTTGGTGAGGTCAAATTTTCGTCTGAAGAGTCGGGCCACCTGGTCCCTGTGGCTTGCATGCATACGCCTGCATGTTCAAGCTCCCTTCGCAGCACAAGGACAGCGTGGAGAGAGAGAGAGGTCCGAGCGCTAGTCTCGAGTGAAGAAGTATTTACGGAGTACCAGGCATGGTTCCAATGCTGAAACATTGTTTCCAGCTACACACTTCTCAAGCCTAGCTATCTGTCACTACTCCGTACTCTGTACAGTTATGGTATGCCCAGAGGCTTTGCCCTGCCTCTGACACACCAGGCTGGGCGTGATGTTTCGAGTCTGGTGCTGCCAGTGGCGAAAACTGACGGGACGGACAAAAGGGAGAGATGCACCAGTTGCAAGCACACAAGCACGGGCATGAAAGAAAGTTGCGTCGCGCCCTGGCTTCTTGTCGCCAAAGCAAAACGCATCTCCGCATTGCAATACTCTTCCGCCCTTGCCAGAGTGTTTGTGTCTGTGGTTAGTGGGGCATCAGCAGAGGACATCGGGAGTTCATCTAACGGGCACGGCCTGAGTGATGGTGGCTGTGGATAAGACTCCGGCGGCCAGAGCAAGGGGACTCGGGGAGCGGAGAATGATGGCGATAGCCCATGTTGCCATGTCGGCCCTGTTCTTGTGCGATTCAACCCTGGTCTTGTGCCCTTGAGCCAAAGTCAAAGACGATCCCGTCTGCCGTCTTGTACCAAACTCGCGAGTTGAGAAAAAAACCGTCGATTGTGGCCGGCCTTCGGGTCGGTAGGTGGGGCCGGCTTGGACAGAAAAGCACTTCTCCGCACAACAGGAAGAAAAAAGCAAACAAGGAGGGGAAACGAAATGAGGAAAGACCCCAGGCGAGCCTCAAGAGGCAGTTGAATCATGAAAAATATGTATGATATGCGAGTGATGGATTAAGTTTTGGGGCATTGCGGCCCGTTGGAGAGAGATAAACCTCGTGCGACAAGACCTTGCTTGCCTGTTCTGCGTACCGTCACCACGGCGAGTTGGACGTTGTCTTGGGATGTGTTTCACTGATTTCATGCCTCTGCTGTTTTGAGATGATCTTGCGACGGCCAGAGATTACAACACCGTTACGGCGATATGCCATCCCCAAGACAAGGGCTGCGGTTTTCCTTGTTCTTTTGCTGGTCGAGATTGCATCGGAGACATCCTATCAAACTCATACACCATTTGGGTAAACCGACGAGTCTTTGTTGCACAACATTCCTCGCCACATGATGGTGCGATGGGCACGGACGACCAAGCCTGCCGAAAGCGGTGCAAAAATGTCGTGGAACCCATATCGACTTGTCTTGTGCTAATAATACGGCCCCATCCATTCGAATACATCGTGGGAACCTCCTTCTAGCACAATCTGGATGTCTTGCAACTGTGTACGTACTCCATTCAGAGCACCGAGGAAGCTTCAGCCGTCTTCACCCTGCCCGTGAAACAGATGGCCTTTGTTCATGCTCTTTCAAACCACCTCGTTTGACCTAACAATACCCTAGACCACGAGGAACAATGACTTCCGGCCCTGCCCGCGTCCGTGTCCGTGTCCGTTGCTTCCGGTCCGTCGAACAGACCACAACTTGTGAACAAAGTCCTCTGATCACGATGCCGTTTGGTGGCTCCCTAATTGCGGATGCACCGCCTACAAGTCCAAACTGGTACTATTTGCCACGCGGCCAAAACGTTGCAACGGGTCCATCAATATGGCGGCGCCGTATGCTAACGGTTAGGCCGAGTTCTGCTCGCGAAGTAAGCTTTTTCGTCAAGTGGACTTTGGTGCCTAGTTTAATGAGGCTTTCGAACATGTTCATGAAATGATCGATCGACTGACAGCAAAGCCTGAAACAGCCGCCCGGAGCCTTTTTAGGGCTTCAGTCGACCCCTACCAAGATTTCCCAGCTTTTTACCGTCTGATGAACCAGCGATGATATCATTGACACATGCTAAAGCCTGCAATCACTGACGGGGGAAGTCCGATCGAGATTGACTTGACTGCCGAGCCGGAAATAGCACCAAATCCGCTGGCGACAATCTAAGAAAAGAGATGGCTCACCGTCATCATCTAGTCGAAATGTAACACTCATCGTTCGATTCCCCTGGGGTCCGTGAGGCACCGCCCATCATCATATGTATGCTTGGCCTTGCCATTTCTGCCTTCGAGCGTGGATAAGAGATTGAAGTTCATTATTGGCTTCACTTTACGCTCGCACGAGCCGCATCCAGCACCAAAGACATCGACAGCTGAAGCCTTGCTCGAATTTAAAGCCCCTGAATATAGTCTCCCTCTTGGAGCCACGTTTTGTGGAGGTGTACCACATCGACGGAAAACCCATGGATGCTCTTCCCAATGGCGCGGTGCAAGACCCGTGACACGTGGGTTTGAAAGTTTATTTACGAGGCTTGGGAGCAAATTGAGCTGCCAACTCTCAGTTTGACTACGTATTTGGAAAGAGGATCGAGATTGTGGCCCCCATTTATTACCTACTTGAGTCTGAACTCTCACTAGACGAACAGCCGTACAAGGATCTGCAGCCTAGAAATGGCAAGCCCGGAGATTACCTTGACCAAAATAACTGATCCGGCAAACTCAAAACCAGCCCTCCTTTCTAGATGACTGGAACAACTCAATATGATTAAAGGAAAACCTCGGTAGTTTGCGAGCCCCAGCCCTTGGTAGAATCCAACGAGCGCTGGTGTAGGGTAAGATTGATTGCTGTTGAAGCACGCCAAAGTGTCGACGTATACTTCTGGGGCCCGAGAGGAAGAGGCCAGATTTAAAAAAGAGAGTTTTTGATGTTTAGAGAATGGGAATAGTCTTGGTTGCCGATATTGCGTCTTTCTGGCACTCAACGTTGTGCCCCCACGCATTAAGTAGTTCAAGGGAGCCACATGCATTGGCTCAAATGCTTTTGTCCCGCCGGCGAAGAGAATACCTTGGACTGTTTATTAAAGAATGCACTGTGCAATATATGCGGCAATAAGGAAGGATAGTCAAAAAGCATGATAAATGAACTTGTCATTGCTTGGGACTTCAAGACCCCGTTAGACTAATGATCAACTCTTTACGCCGACATCTGGGAAGTCGGTCAACAAGAAAACAGACACTCTCGATAGACTATACATTCATTTTAGTCGTGAATACACATTTGTAAGGTTCTCCATGAAGCTATTCGATGTAACTACTAGAGGGGACATTGATGTCACCTACAGAAAGCAGTCAGACTCAAGATAGTTGTCCATCTTATTGAGACGAGGAATTGCCACGGAGGAACATCAAGTGACACTTGTATATCCCGACCTGTGGAGTTATTGGCAAGTGCGTTCCATGTCCCAAATTTATTTTCCTTGTTTTTCTTCCTGTCTGCATGTCTAGGTCTTTTGCATAGTGAGCAAATGATGTTTGCTTATGTTGGCAAATGATCTTTGCTGATGTTGGCAACTCCTCCATCGACTTGGTCTCCGAGCCCCCCCAGTACACGAGTTTGAGAGGCTACCGCATAGAAACATGTAGATGGACACGAGGCGAGCTACTTGGAGGACGCTTCGGAGGCTGATTCATGTTACACGAGTTCGACTGCGGCTCTACCGGCCTGCAGCAATCGCGACAAGACATGGTATCGCAGTCAGGGTTGGCATAAGCAACATCGCTCCAGGCATGACTCCGGCTTTTCCATGTCCTGTATATTGAAGCTGAACCAAGCTTGTGTGTGGTGGTCTCCTTTGACGACATTATCATTGCAGCAGCCGATTTCGGAGCCGCAACTTGACTCGTAGCTAATAGCTCTTCAACACGGCATGCGATTGTGAAAGATTTGATTGACTTGTGGGCTCTTTTCTCGCTGAAGACAGCTATATATGGGCCTCTAATGGTGGTTCGTATCGTTGTCCCTCTATTGAAGTCTGTATGAATCGAGCGGTGCCATGTCGGATGTAGGAAAATGGAGGGTGCAGTCTACTATTAGACATTTGCGGCTCCGGGGACTTGCCTTATCAGACTCAATTGTCTTTCAACTGAAGACTCGCGGAGAGTCTACTTTAGACGTTGCTATTCGGTTGGTCCCGTCGAGAGTTTGATAGCTTCTGAACCGACGATGCGCGGAGATGATACACTCTTCGTTTTGGACCGACTTGACCACGAATCGTTTGTAAAATAATAATAGTGATTCATGAACTTGACAGAAACATCAAGCCAAAGTCCTGTCATGTGTACTCTGTTGCCACTCTTGCCATTTTGCTGTTGGTTCAAGGCCGCCAGCCATAATGGTAAAAGTGCTGCGGACAAACAGCATAGAGCAAATGAATGCAAGGAGTGGCAAGCATACGGCTAGACCGAGTTGCACCATAGCTTCAAATGCGAAAAGAAGAGGCACTCGGCTGAAACGAAGAAGAAGAAGAAGAACTTGGATGGCAGCAATTGGCTCTCGCTTCTGTCATTAACCCGAGCATTCGCCTACTATCTTTAGCATGAACCGTGGGTATCAGACGGGAGATGACCATCTCCACGGGAGATAGACACCGCCAGGCAAGGCACAACAATCACAAATGGTCAAGTCAACTTGCCACAGATGGGCCAGCAGCGTGAGGCTCGCTCTCGCCGTGCTGCGTTCAAACCAGGTGCGGCTCATGGCAAACGCTGCTGTCCTCAAGCCTTCCCCAGAAGAGCCAATCATCAAGTTGATGGGCGCTCCGGATGAGCGACATCCGGAGAAAGCCTCTATTCTGGCAAACGCCACTGCCGGCAGGACCGATTACCAGTGATGCAATTGCTTCCTTGCTCCCTGGCACCGTGGCTGTGAGAGCTGGAGACGACGAAAATGCTATCCTGCTCGAGCTTCTTTGTCTTGTTCGGCCTATTATTACAGCGACACAAGATGGCATGGAAGACGGCCAACCAAGGCCAAATTGTTGCTAAATTTACTACAACTGGCAGTTTTTGTCACGCGGCATCGGAGCAACTCTTGATACAGACGTTGCGAAAAGGCGGCATGAATTCATCCGTCTCGTAATTGAAGCCAAGTAGCAGCGAGGCAAATGTCCCCGAAAGAAGAGTCTTTGAGCCGAATTATACGCTCGTTTTTGCCTTGGCGGTGATTCTTGCCGAGTTCGCAAGCAGATGTGGCTTGCGCGATATCATGTCGCTGGTCAGCGATGCCATAATCGGTGCTCAACGGCCCGGCACCAGGCACAGCTTCTGCCCATGGACGAGGATTTGGATAGGGCCAAATAGGAAAAGGTCCCTATAGACCATACATAGAAAGAATACCGGCTTCATCGACCTCCAGCGTGCGCCAAGCCCACAGGTGTAGACGCCCTTGGGATGGCAACTAAAAGCGAACTCCCAACTCGTGGGAAGATTGGTCCAAACGGTTGTATGTATGCCATGTACTTTGTCCAATGGAATGCAAGACAATAAAAGACGTCTCATTTTACTGGTTGGCATCAACGCCACCACGATGGCTTCGTGGTACAGCCTCGGAGGAGTGGTTGGGCCTTGACGCCACGAAACGGCACCCAGGAGCCAATATCTTTCATCAGAGGCTGACAGCCACTTCATTACCAGAGGCTATTCTAGCAAGCGAGAGCCGGTAGTGGTGGGATTGAACAGCCTTGGTGCTGTACCACTTCTGTATGGGAGATGGCTCTTCCTTAGCCAGTATGTAGTTCCCCCAGATCGTCATTCCCGAGGGGCGCCCTGCTGGGCCCCTTGGCTCGGGGGATGTACGGCCGACACCGTTTTGTGATATCGCAGAGCTTCAATTGCGATGGCTGTCGTGGGACGCAATGAGCTTCCACATGGCGATTGTCGACTATAAATGAAGGTCGATTCCCAGCGTCAAATGATCAACTCAACAGTCATCACAACAACACAAATACATCAAGTCTAATCCCCTTCAATACAAAATCATTCACATTATCCGCCTCGTCAACCCCTGACTTTAGAACCAAAACACGAATTTTACAACAACCGTTACAACACTATTCAACATGATGCTCAACTCCGCCATCGTCACCTTTGCTCTCAGCGTTGCTGTCAGCGCCCTCCCCCAGGCATACCCCAACAAGTGCGGCGACCAAGTTTGTCCTGCCGACAAGGCCAAATGCTGCGAAGTCATTGTCAACGGAGTTGCAGAGATTGGCTGCTTCGCCGAATGCCCACCAGTTCAGGCCCTCCAGCGCCGACAAACATATCCCAATAAGTGTGGCGATCAGGTCTGCCCTGCCGACAAGGCCAAATGCTGCGAAGTCATTGTCAACGGAGTTGCAGAGATTGGCTGCTTCGCCGAATGCCCACCAGTTCAGGCCCTCCAGCGCCGACAAACATATCCCAATAAGTGTGGCGATCAGGTCTGCCCTGCCGACAAGTCCAAGTGCTGCGAAGTCATTGTCAACGGGGTAGCTGAAATCGGCTGCTTTGCCGAATGCCCGCCCGTCCAAGCCCTCCAGCGCCGCCAGACATATCCAAACAAGTGCGGCGACCAAGTCTGCCCTGCCGACAAGTCCAAGTGCTGCGAAGTCATCGTCAACGGCGTCGCTGAGATCGGCTGCTTCGCTGAATGCCCGCCCGTCCAAGCCCTTCAGCGCCGCGACCAGCCCTCGACTACAACCTCGGCGGCCCCTTCGACTCCTACCTTTGGTCCCAAGTGCGGCGATTCCTTCTTCTGCCCCGTCGGCAAGGTCTGCTGCCCCAACGCTCTCTACCACTGCGCCGATCCCGACAAGGTCAGCCAGCAGTGCCCTCAGTAAATGGCGCTCGTGAGAAGAGGCCTGCCGAGAGACTGAGCATGAAGGTGTTGCAACATCTGCGGCGGCTGAGTGTTTGAGTAATTTTCCTTTGTTTGGCTTGGTTGGCATTTAGAGTGCGAAAGACGTTGTTACAGCTATAGATTAGAGATTGCTTCCCTTGTTTCCCTTAGAGAACATCTATATACTTTATAGAAGACTTTGTTAATAGATTGGCTGTATTTTTTTTCACATGCCTTTGCTCGAATGTCTCATGCATAGACCGCGCTATGTGACCGATTAACAAGAACTAGCTGGGGGGTAATAAGGAAAAGGAAAAGACGAAAAAAAAGAGAAATTCAGGCAAAACGATGAAATTACTTGGATTGGCAATCTCGAAGAACTGATAAACACATCTCGTCGCAGGCCTTTCGAGCTCCGCGACCAACAGCACGGAGGGAGCGGAATCGGAGCGGGGACCAAGTGGGGCAAAAAGCCGGCGCTAGGCTGGTTACGCATCCGGTTCCTCCCAGCCCTCGGAGTTTCCAAACTCCACGCCTTGTACTCCGTATTTCATCGCGCGTCTCCCCTCACACTTGACGACCGAGATTCCCCAGCTTTGCTCAGCTCCCGCCCCCCACGACTCCAGCAAACGTCAACTTCAAGCAACTGCCATGGCGACGGCCGCCGTGTTCGGGTCCACCGGCGCCGTGGGCTCTCAAATCCTCGCCACGCTCCTGGCCACAGACACATTCTCATCCATCAAGACCATTTCCCGACGAGCCCCCGGCGCGCAATCGCCCAAGCTCCAGGCTCTCGAGGAGGCAGACACCTCCAAATGGGGCGGCGCGATGGCCTCGCTCTCCCCCAAGCCGGGCGTGGTCTTCAACGCCGTGGGCACCACGAGAGCCGCGGCGGGCGGCATCCAGAACCAGTGGAAGATTGACCACGACCTGTGCATCGAGAACGCCAGAGCGGCCAAGGAGGCGGGCGCCAAGACGTACGTGTTCGTCTCGAGCGGCGGCACCAGGGGCTTCCCCTCGAGATACCTGCCGTACTCCAAGATGAAGATTGGTGTCGAGGACGCCATCAGGGAGCTTGATTTCGAGCACGCCGTTATCCTGAGGCCCGGGATGATTATCGGCAGAGAAACGTCCAAGGCGCCGGTGCTTGAGAGCATTGTCGGAAACCTGAATAAGCTGGGGCAGTGGGCGCAGGACTGGATTGGTACGTGCTGGATATGCGAGTGCTTTGCCGTGTTCCGGTGCTGACAGAGGCTTGTAGGTCAAGATCAGACCGTCATTGCGAGGGCGGCGGTTGCTGCTGCGGCGGCGGCAAATGATGGGAAAGCACCGTCCAAGTATTGGGTTGTCGAACAGGCTGACATTGTTAGGCTGGGCCGAGACCAGTGGAAGCAATAGTGTGTCCTGTGTGTTTTGGATGTGGATGCGGTTGAAAGATTTGTAGTAGTAGCTGGAGGATTGCGAGTCCTTGATGCTTTGGCCGTGGAGCGAAAAGTCTGGGACGCTTTGCCGCGGTGTTTATTTTGGCGCTGTTGCCCCAATGCTGGCCATTCCGGCTTCGGTTGTTGTGTGCTTGGGTAGTAATGATGCAATGAAGTGTTTATGCTGGCTTCCGTCATCTTGCTGAACTTGATTGGCCGTGGATGAATCAGACGTTGTTGATGTTGTAGAAGAGCGGGTGTTTATGTGCCATCACAGAGGCTGCAAGTTGCATGTGTGACTTGAACACACCAGTGGTCTTTTCGGCCGTACCCGGTCAAAGGCTATGGCACCAGAGACCATCTCTAAGAACTCCATGTTGCCTTTCCCATTACTTTTCTTGCCGGGGGGCGAGAATGGGCGTTGAGAAATGGCGGCATTCAAGCAAATATGACTTGCATAGCGTCAATAATACAGTGGTGGCATAAGTCTTGGCCAACCAGCTTTATGCAACGTTGACGGCCAAGTCGGTATGGAGCTTGACGGCTCCGCCATGTGTGCAATGTACATTGTACATGCACCTACTCCACCGATGGGCAGGCACGGCTGGGCCATCGGGGTGACCCGACGATTCGGGCAACACCGCACATGTTTGGTGCATGTCGTGCCGGCCCGACGTGTTTGGCGACAGCAATTGACACTTTTCAATCTTCTTAAGAAGCTCATTTCCACTCTCCCATCTCCATCCTGCTTCTCTATCAAAAGACAGCCAATTTCATCATCCAGGACCAGCCCTGCCCATATTCCCACGTACACCAAGGATTCCCCGCCATCCGCCATGGGCGACAACAATGTCAGGTCGTACTTTGCTCCGGCAGGCGGACTGCCGCCGCAGACACAGCTTCTCACCGACCGCGCCATGTTTACCGAGGCATACGCTGTGATCCCAAAAGGCACATTCAGTGACATCGTCACGAGCTTTCTGCCCTTCTGGGACCAGACGAGACTGTGGGTGATTGCCCGTCCGCTGTCGGGCTTCGCGGAAACCTTTTCGCAATACATCATGGAGGTTCAGCCCGGCGGCGGCAGCGACCGCCCCGAACTAGATGACGGCGCAGAAGGCGTAGTGTTCGTCGTCGAAGGCAATGTAACCATCACCATGGCAGACGAGAAACACGTCCTCGCCGAAGGCGGCTATGCCTATCTGCCGCCGAAAAGCGGCTGGACCCTACGCAACACAGCTGCCACCACGGCCCGTTTCCACTGGATACGCAAAGCCTATGAATACGTCGACGGGCTTGGTACGCCCGAGCCTCTTTTTCTCAACGAAAAGGACATTGCACCTTGCGAAATGCTGGGGACCAACGGTGCTTGGGCAACGACACGCTTTGTCGATCCCTGCGATGTGCGCCATGACATGCATGTCAACATTGTCACCTTTGAGCCTGGCGGTGTCATCCCGTTCGCGGAAACCCACGTCATGGAACACGGACTCTATGTGCTGCAAGGCAAAGCTGTCTACCGCCTGAATCAGGACTGGGTCGAGGTGGAGGCGGGCGACTTCATGTGGCTGCGCGCCTTTTGCCCGCAGGCGTGCTACGCGGGCGGCCCTGGCAAGTTCCGTTACCTGCTTTACAAAGATGTGAACCGGCACATGAAGCTCTCGAGATAGGTAGTGCCAGGCTTGGTCTACACCTGTTGATGCAATATTGTGGCCTGGAGATGCAAGGAAACCACCCAGTGAATCAAGCCTGGAATAGGTTCGGCTAAGAAGATGGAGGGCTACGTCTCAATTTCGGCAGTCCAAGTCAAAGCCTCGAAAATGCCTGTGATGGGTGACTTGAATCTTTGGATTGAAGAATGCTGCCGATATACTACTGGCAGGCAAATAGCTGTTCACCGGACAAAATACCTGGCCATTGCGTGACAAACTATCATGTACTAATGCATATTAGTGTATATTTACATGTAGACAAATATTCTGCCAAAGGCTGTACTGTACATCCATTGTTTCTGCCCGCATGTAAACTTGTGTGTTCGCGGCTAGGATCATCTCTACCCCTGGGATGGCGTTCCGCTCTCCAAAGGCTGACAAGACGAGTAAGAGAATCAGGAGGGGCACTGGATTATTGTGAATGCATAACCGCATATTCTGTGCTTTTCCCATAACAAGACCTCTAGGGTAGCGCAGCCAAAGCATATATATATTTACGGACATAGCTAGTCAATATTTCGAGATCTTTTCTACCAGCATGACACTGTAAGCCTAGTCTTTGTTTTAACTTTAGGTATTGACGAGTAATAGAACTGCCTTTCCCCTTTTTATGAGTCTTCCCCCACATGGTACACTGATGAAGATGAGGGAACAGCGGCGTAGTCGTCAACTCAAGCATCGCAATCGTGGTACTTGGTCAGCTTGAAAAGCTTCTTGGCGTTCTCCCGAGCGACCTTTTTATATCCATCCTCGCCGCCCAGAGCCCGAGTCAATGCATCCTCCTCGCCGTCAAACCACCCCACGCCATTCTCGATAGTCTCGTACGGGGTATCCACGCTGAACATGATCCTCTCGGGCCCCAAGTAATCGGCGACGTACCGCACAGTCGGCGTAGAAAAGTGCCCGCTGGTCGTCACCCAGATATTGTTCTTAAAGTAGTAAAGCAGATCCTTCTTGCTCATCACATCCCCCCGCCCAGCCGCCAGCGGACGCTCGACATCCTCGAGCCAGTGGCTGATGCGCCAGAAATCAAAAGGTATATGCTCCCCGAGATGCCCAACCACCACCTTGAGCTTGGGGAAGCGGTCGAAAACCCCATTCGTCACAAGACCCAGGAGGTGCAGGGAGACGTCGTTTGCAAAACTCAACGGCGGGCCGACGAGATACTTGCGCTGCGCGTACATTTGCTTGTAGTAGTTGCCGGCGGGCGCAGCGGGGTGCAGATAGACGGGCACGTCGAGCTCGACGCACTTTTGCCAAAATACATCGTACGCAGGCTGATCGTAGAAGAGGTAGGTCTCACCGTCCGGACCAGCGTGCTGGTAATTGTTCAGGAGGGCGCCGTGGAAGCCGTGCTGGCGGACGCAACGCTCCAGCTCGGCGGCTGCCTGTGCGGCGTCGTGCATGGAGAGGGCGGCAAACGCACCTAGTCGGTCGCGGTGGTCTTTGATTTCGTTGGCGATCCAGTCGTTGACGGTGGTGGCGTGCTGCTCGGCCTTGGACTGATCTGGTATGCCTTGGATGCCGGGCACCGTTAGGGAGTAGATGGTGTAGCCGATCCCGTGGCTGTTTGCTAATTGGAGACGCTCGCCGAGAGGGTGTTTGATGTGGTAGATGTAGCGATCGAGGTCTTTGGGCGCGATGTACAGAGCAGCTTGTTCGCGACTGGAGTCGGCCAAGGTTGGCAGTTCGAAGGCTTCTTCAAAGTTGATCTTGCCACGCATTGTGCTTAACGTTGTGTTGGTTTGTAAATAATTGGTTTATAGAGACAATGGATGAGTGGGAAGAGTGAGATTGTTTGTATAAATTACACAAGCGAGAACGGGCAGCTGATTTATACTTTTACAAAGTCTTGCCACTTGGTCGACGCAGTCACCTTGTTGGCCGTTTCTATACCCGGATACAGCGGACGGTGCATCGTCATGGACCAAGTGCCATTCTTGTTTGGACCCAAGTATCTGCGGAGAGCACGCGGCAAGCTGCAGACGAGGCCTGGGCACTCGCCTATCGGAGCTACCAAGAGAGCATCAGTTGCTGGCCTCAGACAACCGATCGTAGTGCCGAGCCGTAGTGCCGGTCGGGACTGCACGTCTAGTGGGACATGATGAATCTCACGGACTGGGAAAACGTCGACTCGATCGCGAATCCGGGCTACAGGCTCCGACGTTGCGGAGTCGATCGGCCTCGGCCATGGGGTTTTTGCCCGTGCCGTGGCGCGAGCCCCGAACATGACCGCCTCCGTACCTTGTTAACTGTTACAAGTTCAGAGAATCATAGTTGGGACGCTAAACCCAGTGTGTTCGGAGTTTCGGATTCGATGTTTATTCGTTGCAACACCGGAAGCCTAGGTTCCGTGCCATATCAGATGGGCGCTGGAAATTCGGACTCGACGTTCATTCGTTGAAACACCGGAGCCCGGGCTTCTGTACTATATCGGATCGGCACTGAATTATAACTCGGCATTTTCAAAATAGTAACATCAGCTATACCATGTCCGGCGACAAGCGTTCGATTCATTGCGAAAAGCAGACGCGACGTCATCTAATTCTATGCTACTTCGTCTCTTTATCAGGCCTAGAATTGGTAGAATCGACGGGGCTAGAACTTTTTTATTCCACGAGTCTCAACTATGCCTCACTTGCTCAGGGCATATAAACTAGGTAATGCGCATGTGCATCATGCTCGCACGTCGCTTGTCATACGGTACCGGCAGTTAGGACAGAATAGCTTAGACCTGAATGAAACAAAATTAGTTTCACATGTAAAACAGCAGAGCCATATGCTATCAAATTTTATGTGGATACTTCTGCCCGGACAACAGTGTTACGATTTCCTCATGCGTGCTCTTGACATAGGCAGCATTACCCAACAAGCACATAGTTTTCTTTGTCGCAAATGAGCAGCCTAATCTTCACATCGCTGATGAAGACTTGGGTTTTTCTTTTGCCACGACGCCATCATCTCCAGGTGCGTAGTTGTCAAACTGCAAGGCCGCAACTCGCCTTTTGAGACATGATACTTGTAGACAAAAGGTTCCCTTCAGAGCAAGTAGATGACCCGTTAATATTAGTAGAATAAATTGCTGTTGAACGAGAAAACGATGGTATGATTGGGGCATTGCTAGCAGAGTGATAATCGTAAAGCTAAATACTACTTTTTGTTAAGCGTCACAGCAGAACACGCGTAATCTAGAGGTGAAAGGAGTTTATTGCTTTTATAAGATAGCGTTACGACCGAAGTAGACTTGTATGGAAGTTGTAGGCCAAGTCCTGCACGTAGTCAAGGTCAATAAAACGCTACCACATGGCACAACCCACCTTCGCCTGGTGTCGCGGTTTGATGTAGGAATGGCTCATTTGTTCTTTTTATTATAATAAGAGGCATAAGATAATGTTTATAATAAACCTGGATAAATACTGAAACAGTTGTACACTTTATTATCGCAGTGCCGGGTTTACCAATGATGCGAGACAGTCGCCCTCCTGTCGTCACGGCCCCCCAACAAGACTTACAAGCCATATTCGACCGCAACCCCTCGTATATAACTATCTCTTTCTCCTATTCTTTCGGTTTCAGTTGGCCAATGTGCACGGCCGCAGCTTGTCAAAGGTTATACCACAAGAAGTTGCCATCCGTACCGCTTTCAGCCTGGCTTGGTCTAGTGGTACAGATGCTAATCACATCTGTAACGACGGAGTCGACCTTTGCCGCAGAAGTAACCGCCGTTTACTTCCTACAGAGCCAGAGCGCACATTGCCTTGCCGCCGCGATGTCATTGTCTGTGTAGGTATCCAGGACACGGCTTTTCTTGTGCCGGCCAGATGCATTCGATTCCACTTACAATCTCCTCTCTGACGGCGAGTAGCAGTAGCGCCCGGCTTTTCCGGCGTCACATCCGAAGAGCATCACATCCAGTTCCTCTACCATGGCCCAATGTCTGCATTTCTGCTGCCCATACGGAACCACTCCCGATCTGGCTATACGGGGACCCGTTTGACCCGTTTTCTCTTGCGCGTGGAACATGCCGGCGCGGACTCTAAGCAACGGGATGCTTTAGTTTGCTAATGACCTGCTACATTTGGGAATTGCCTCTGCGGCACACCTTCGCGGACGATCTGTAGCATTATACTGGTGAGGGAAGAAACACTGGTACATACTCGACAAATGCGTAGAGACTGAAGCGGCTGTACGGGCTGCTCTCTCTGTCAGGCCACAACGAGTTACATCAGCCCTCACGACATTCCTTTGGCCAGAAACCCTCATCGCCATTCAAAATGTGGAAGAAGCAACTTGAGCAAGTGAAGGACAGAAATACGTCAAAGCCGTAGGTCGTCTCGTGATTTTCACGTCCGTCTCAAACAGCCTCGCGACGGCTGCTGGTAATCGGTTTGCTCATGAAAGTGAGGCTGGAGACCATCAGCTGGAATGTTATAAATTCTGGCCCTACACCGACAACCGGCACGTTCAAAACATGAATCCAATCGTGGACCTGGGGTGTGGTGGAACGACCGATTTCACTTGATTCCATCCAGCAGAGAAGGCGCGCCGACTATGCCTGGCATCACGGCCATGTCAATCGACAACGAGCAAGCTCGCTTCGGCAACCAGGAGCGTTGCAGACTGACCAAAAAAGGCGCATTATATGAAACAAGAAACGCAATTTATAAAGTATAAGTGGCACTCAATTGGCTCAATAGCGGCGAGAGTCCATTCTTTGTTGACATCAAATGCTTCTATTAGAAACCTCGAGCCGGCTGGGAGGCGACACTCACCCCTCGCTCAGAAGTTCAACAAGGGGTTTAGATTCGTTCTTTTCGACAAGATTCCGATTCAGCTGACGATTGTCGTAGTATCCCCTTGGTAATCGTGCCATGAGGCGACCACATAAAGGATATGGTTTTTCGGCTTGGCCGGAAAGTCGGCCTCACAGCACTGTTTATACTAGTACAAAAAGGACATGCCGATTTTTATATTTCCCCAAGAGTTTGGCTAGAGTAATAACTTAAAAAGCAGAGACAACTGGACAGGACGAAAAGTTGTAGAAGGGAAGCTCATGACTGGCACAGACATGTCAAAGCTCTATGCAGGGACAATGCTGCATGGAGCGAACTAGTAGCAGAGCTAAAGGCCGACGTGGCTTCCTTGCTGGAACATGCGAGCAGAGAGGCTCCTGTCAGATCTCATGAGCTAAGTAGTCGACAATTCCGATAATAGTGCCATGAGCACGACCGAAAGCGACCTCCCACATCGAGGGTTAGGGTTACATTGCCCACTCATCCATGAAAAGCCCGTTTGGTGGCTCTTTCGACATGGTTAGTGTCCGTCCATGCGCCGCGCCATGGCTGCGCGGTGGTTGAGGCGCATTCCTTCCAGTCCTGCCCATCCTTGCGGATCAGCAGTCCCATCCAGGTGGTTGCGCAGATCGAGTTGGTTGCGGCATGATGCTATCACAACGACCAGTTCTGGCTCGAGCTAGCCTCGCCGTCGTCGCGTCGCCGGACTTCCCATTGGACAGTGAGTGCATGATTGTGTCGCAGTCGCAATGTCTCGCTTCCTCGTCAAATGACTTTTTCGTCAATTGACTTGAGCGAGGGAGCCACCAGCAGGTTTTTTTAGTCTTGACGTCAAGCTAAGGCGACTGGAATGTTGCCGAACATGTCCATGTCTGTGCTGCCACGCCGCCGACATATAATATAGATGTATGCCACCGACGGCCATTGCTTGCATCCCGGACGCTTTTTGTAAAAGGTCACCATCTGCCGTACAATATGAAGTGTAGCCTACTCTTGCTACTGGCGCCGCTCAAAGCCTGGGCTCAACAATGTGCCTGCGGGTATGCAAATCAAGATGCGTGCGCTTCTGCTCTGGCGGAGCGGGCAGACTCATATACAGGCGTCGCTTTCAAAGGACAACCGGGTAGCGCAGATGAGCGCTCAGAATATGCTGCTGCTGCTGCTCTCCCGAACGGGAAGCAGACCGGACCGCAGGAATATCCATTCATAGCCGCCGTGGTATACAAACCGGGGCACCAGAGAATCCTTTGTGCTGGTGCCATTATCGATGAGCATCACATACTTATTGCCGCGCATTGCGTGCACGGCCTGAAGGCAGACAGCCTCGGCGTCTACATCGGATCAAACAGATTTAACGCGACGGGAGCCAAGTTGGAGACGGTCGAGGCCATTCATACGCATCCTCAATGGGACCCGGAACTACTAGTATACGACGTCGCACTGCTTCAGTTACGAGATGCCTTGATCTTTGATCGATATACGACAGGGCCCATTTGTGTTCTTGACCAACGGAAGAGCCTAGACAACCAAAAAGCGGTTGCAGTGGCGTGGGATTCGGCGACAGACGGAGGACAAGCTGTTTCGTCGCTTTTGCAAGCAACCTTTGAGACCCATGACCTGGCATCCTGCAGTGCTCAACCTTCCGGAGGGCCACAATTCTGTGCGTACTCGGCAGAACCGGCGGGCTGTCATCAAGGCTCAGATGATCCTCTGCTGTTGTTGCAGGACCAAAGTTCCCAGAGATACTTTGCAATAGGGGTATCGTCGTATGGCCAAAGCTGTAGACAGTCCCCAGAGGTCGTCACCGATGTCACTCAGCTCAGGCTGTGGATGCAGAGTGTCTTGCAAGCTGCCGGCGGGAAAATTTGCAAGTAAAAGCAAGTACATAAGCCACACTGCAGGCAGGCTTGGCTATCACAGTCAGAATATAGTTCTTCTCAATTCGACAAATCAGACGCGTACATTCTTTGCCACGGTTTCAAAGCGTTCCACCACGAGATTTGTTCCTTCATCCATGGTGATCCTCAGTTTCATGTTAAATCGATCACCGACCTGAGAGCCTACTTGAGAAACGTCCATCGAAAGCTCAACAGGTGCTGGGAAACCCGAAAACGGCAGGGCATTCGCATTCTCTGCCCATTCTGCTGTATCTAGTCTTGGTCTCTGCTCCTTCTGTCTTGCGTCTTTTCTAGTCTCTAGAACAAGCATTCCGTCACGACACAACTGCCGTTGGTACTCTGGCCCCGCCCCCCCTGCTCTAGACGGCTTTATCTTTCAATACAAACATACCGCCGAACCACCCATAAGCTCGGCTGAGTCTCCTACCATGCCGACGAGCTGTCAGGAACGGAATCTTGCCTCGAGGGTGTGGTTCATGAAACTGTATGCTCCTTTCAACATCCAGCTTGGTCGGTTGAAAGTGCCATACAGACCCATACAACTTTTGGGCACCGAATCCAACTGAGCTCATAGCATGTAGGAAATCGTTCCACGCGACTTCGCCGGGCGTTGTGTTGGCTGTCGGATCGAAGAATACAATGCGAAAAACTTTCAAGGCTCGTGAATCTATCAAGAATGTAGGTTGAGAATCCGGTCGGGCATCGCCCAGGTCCGCCGGAACCTCGGAGTTGTTCTCCGGTACGGACACGGGAGTCCCTCGAGACTTGACCTTGGACTTTGCAGTTCCTCCAGCAAGCACTTCTTTCCTTGCAGACGGTGGGTCGGGGCCGATGAAAAGGTTAGAAAAGGGCTTCGTAGGAACCTCAGGTCTATGCTGCGAGACCTCGTTTCCCCTGTCATTCTTTCCGGCTGCTGGTTCAATCCACTCCGGTGTACGCTGCAGTGTCCACGACTTTGACAAAAGTTGCCCCAGAGCCGTGCCTTTCAAACTTCCCGCATGAGAGTAAAGTAGCTTGTCCATATTATCCCAGAAGATATCCAGATGAGTCTCGGCCGATCGAAGCTTGTCAACGTTTACCTTGTTTCGTTTCCTCCCCACAGGATAGTCAAACTTGTTGTCTGATGGATCTCCAAATGGGACTACTTTGAGGATATTCTCATCACGGATAGATAGGACTCTGCCCATGGTATTCATCCGTGCTGCAAACTCGCTTTTAATACCCTCCTCTCGGTCTACTAGCGCATTTTCAAACCCATTGGCCCAAGGTTGATAAACCTGAAGCTGTCTCAAGCATTCGGCAACAATGGAGAGGTCGCCGATTATGAAGGCGACGTATGGAGAGATGAGGTCCCGAGCCTTCTGGTCTGCCTGGATCAGTCTCTCCAGCTCATCCACGATAACAGGCAAGCGGCAGAAGAATAATGTGCGGTCATCTTCCCACAGAGTCCGTAGCAACCACAGCACGTGCTCAGTTGTCTTATCCACCTTCACGCTGGGCTTTTGCATTAAGCGGATTTTGGATGAAGTTGGCGACTCGGGTACAGCTCGGACGAAGAAATTTCTCATTGGTGGTGACGCCGGAACGGCAGTCTTGAGCTGATTGAGAGGCCCTTTGGCAATTTGGTTGAGGTAATGGCGGAATTTAAGTAGAGCCTGCAGGTATTCTTCTGGGAGATCTTTCAACGGCGATATTTTAGACGCCCACTTCTTTTGGAGGGCCTTGAGCTCGCGTGCTTGATCGCGAAGCTCCAAGAACATCTCCAATTGGAGGGTCGACTCAACAACCACACTGCCAATGATCCTAGCCCACAGCAATTTCTCCCGTGGATACTTCAAGGTGGGATGGCTTTTTCCGTCTACATCTTTCAATATCTCCTGCCGATGTTCCTTGCCCTCAAGGAGCTCGTCTGCAAAGTAGCTTGGATCTTCACGCAAAGCCCAGATGTGCTCTGCGGCGTGTGAAGCTCGTGCAGCCAACAGCGATTCGATGTTCTCCAAGTCAAGATTAGCAGGGACTCGGTACGGTGCTTCCTCCGCCAAAGTGGCTAATGAAGCCAGGCCACTGGGGTCATTGTTGGCTTTGAGCGGCGGCTCTGGTTCAATCGGATACACATCACTGGTTAGTTCCTCCGCTGGAATCTCGTGAAGAATTTGCTGACAGCAGGAAACAAGGAATTCTAGAAGCCGACTCTGGGCTTCCAAAATGGCAAGACCTTCTCCCGGCAGAAACTGTTTGCGGGAGGTCATCCAGTCGAACGCCTCGTCGTGCTCATCCCAACCAACTAATCTGCCATATTCGTTCTCTGCAGTGACGCCGTTCAACATCATGACATACCCATTGAGAAATATGGGCACAAGAAACATGGTCAAGTTTCCAAACTGCATCACGTCGCCATCAGCGGCCGCAAAAACGCTAGGGTGATTTCTTGCCCTGGCGTTGAGCAGCAATGGCAGTGTCTTTGGCCTGGCCAGATCCTCCTGGTTGATGTAGGGCCAAATAAAGCATCCGCGGTACTGCGCTGCTACTGCTTCCTGCAGCTGCTTTGAGTACTTGCGAAAAACCGCAAAATCGGGGCGGTGTGTAGCCGGCATGTCTGGCCAAGCCTCAAGCAACAGCTTCAGTCGCTGTGTCCTCGTCTTCTTCTCCCATCGCCTCTGAATCTTGGCCTCGTGTCGGTCAACAATCGCCCTGAGAAGGTTGAAGGAGACAGATATCTGCTTCTTCCTTTGCTGAGATTCATGACGAACTTCTGACGGCGTCTGGGTCTTGGGAGGCGCAAAACCTCGGGCAGCGTACATGCCGAATGCGTCACTGTTATTGTTCCAATCGATGTCTTCTAGCCCGGAAATGTCCACATCGTCAAGCTCAGGGTGCGGCTCGAATGGGTTAAAGCGATACTCTGTTCGACTTGGGAGAGGATTCATTGCAGAGATTCGATATCTGCAACACGCTGCAGAATGTGAGCGTCCAAGGCGATGGAAATGATGGTGCGGCTAGAATGGGCCATCAGGCAAGTCTCTGACGGCGTGTTGGTCAATGCGCCAAGACAAGACTCACGTGCACAAGGTGACACAATTTATGAAACCTCTGTCTGATAGAAATAAGACCGAATTTCCAAGCATATATTATACTTGGTCGTGTTTCTCGCTTTAGCAGGAAATATATTATAGTATATTTATGTATATTTGTTTATTAGTACGATACCTTGCCACACGCGCTTACTTCTATTAGTGCTTCCATATTAAGCAAACCGGCACATTTTTCATCCACGAGAATAGCTTTAATTTATGCTTTATGCACGCACGGGTCCCACAGTTGCTTGATTACCATGCCGAGACGCGAGAACGAAAAAAAATCAATTCATGGTTAAGATTCAGAAACTTGAGACGGTAAAACGATTGGGGTATCAATTGGCCGGTACATTGTATTCTGGAGTCCCTCGCCCTTATTCGCCGCCAGTCAACTCCATCCCTTGAAATAAATCCAGCCAGTCTTCTAAGCTCTCATCGATAAACACCTGCAACTCCCAAGACTCTTGAGTCAGACTCTCAGCAGGACCATCCCAAAGATATATATCCGCAAATAATTCCTCCCCGGAAGCTTTCCCATCTTGATCTAAAATATGTACCTTTGTAGAAACGGGCTTATAGATCTCGCCCTCAAAGTCATCCAGCTTTCTCCGCTGTGACATGTTTTGAAAGGTAATTAGGTAGCCATCAATGTGCGAGTCTTTGTGAATGGTAGCGGCTGGGTAATCGCGGCCTTGTAATCTGTATCGAGCGAATCCATAGACCCTAGCAGGGCGGATCAGGCTGTCGACATAATTAACGCTGGATGAATCCCCCGTGATTGCCCAAGCAAGTAGCTCTTTTGCACAAAGCGTTCCGTAGACAAATAAGGGAGTTGGCTGAGGGGGTACTTCTTCTGCCATCTTGTCGCGCTCTTGAAAGATATCTCGCTACTCAAGAACTTTTAAATCGTTAGCTCTTGTTGGATCGACTGGTACGCTTGGGCTTTTGGTTTGGTTTGGTTGCACCTGCTCAAGCCGGGAGTTACCTTTTCGTTCCGAGTCTGCAGAAATGACCAAATGAAGGCCGAGGTGGTGAGTGGTGAAGGAAAGGAGTAGCCTCTGGTTGGTACCGGGCACTTGGCTTTATTAATACCTCCGAATTGGGGGAGAGAGAACAGAGTCGATCGTCTTACTTCCCATTAGAAAGACGCCAGCACCACACTGTTTGTTAGGGCAAATGTGTAATGCGGTCAAAGGACAATGTAAGGTTCATATTGATTCACTTAGTACACGACCCACAATTCATGTTTTAGCGTTCAAAGGCTAGCAAGGATTCATCCGGGCAGTGCAACTTCTGAGGCTGCTCTCATTAGACCTGCCCATTAAATAGCGATGCTTGAAGCGCAGCACACCGGCTGAGCTTTTCCCTTTCACAGCAGACAGTAGGAATGTTTGCACAGGGCCGATTGAATGCGACGAGATTTGGTGTTCAATGCCCAGTGAGTCAGTGCCCAGTGCTGTGTGTTCGTTCGGGTCGACTTGATCATCTCGGCCTGGAACATGTTACGGCCGGACAGGGTCAGACTTGTGTCACTCGGTTGACATCAAAGCTGGTGGTCAATGTCAACATCCCTCAGTGTCACGAGTCACCAAGCACACACCGAAATTCCCAATGTCACCACATGCAGCTGGTCCAGCCTTCACCATTGGACGCCCTCCGGCGAACATTTCCTGGCCAATGCGTCGCCGCCCAACGCCCAATGGCTTCCATTTGCTGAGTCCATGGGACTTCTACTCCTCCATAACAGACGGACGCTCCATGTCCAGCTTCCCCAGTGTGAGGCGCCAATCTACTTGACCACTCTGAGCTGCGCGCCTGTCTCGCAACATGGTTTTGCTCCTCGACGTGGCTGCAGCAATCCTGGTCTTGACGATTCGTGCAGCAGCGGCATCTGATATATATCCACCGAAGCCAGTCGACTTGACAACTCCTGTCCAACAGCGCATTGCCATATATGGTCCAAATCGTATGTAAACATCGCCTCTCAAAGAATACATAAAGTCTCTTACGATGCTTAGATGTGTCTATTGGCTGGAACACTTATCAGCGGCTGAGCAAGCCATGCGTTCAGTATGGCACCGGAAACGATGCTCTAACACAGGAAGCTTGCTCAAACATGTCTGAGACGTACTCAACATCGCGAACATGGTCCAACACTGTCATTATAGAAGGACTGAAGCCCGCAACCATGTATCATTACAAGATTGTGTCCACCAACTCCAGCATTGATCACTTTACCAGTCCACGAGCAGCTGGCGACACGACCCCCTTCGCCATGGACGTTGTGATTGACCTGGGCGTCTACGGAACCGACGGCTTCACAACCGATAAGAGAGATACCATTCCAAAGATTGAGCCTGCGCTTAACCATTCCACCATTGGCAGACTTGCTGACACTATTGACGACTATGAGTTCATTATACATCCCGGTGATTTTGCGTACGCTGACAACTGGTATGAGAGGCACCAAAATGGGCTGCACGGGGAGGCAGCATACCAATCTATCCTGGAACAATTTTACCAGCAGTTGGCTCCCATTGCCGGCCGTAAACCATACATGGCCAGTCCTGGCAACCATGAAGCAACCTGCGATATAACCCGTCACGTAAGCGGAGACTGCCCCTTGGGCCAAACCAACTTCACAGACTTCATGCACCGATTCGGCGCCACCCTGCCCACGGCCTTCCCATCATCGTCATCTAATGCCACTGCTAGGGCCAGAGCTGCCACAGCGCAGAAGCTGGCGCGGCCACCATTTTGGTACTCTTTCGAATATGGCATGGCCCATGTTGTCATGATTGATACCGAAACGGACTTTCATGAGGCCCCAGATGGCCCTGGTGGTTCGACCGGTGACAATGACGGCCCGTTTGGCTCGCAAAACCAGCAACTGGACTTCATCGAAGCCGACCTGGCGTCCGTAGATCGTACAGTTACCCCTTGGCTCATCGTCGCAGGCCACCGACCCTGGTACACGACAAGCGGAGGAGAAGCATGTCTGCCATGCCAGAAGGCGTTCGAGCCACTGCTGTACAAGTATGGTGTAGATCTAGCCATTTTTGGTCACGTACACAACTCGCAGCGCATGGTACCTGTGTACAAGGACATCGCAGATCCAAATGGCATGAGAAACCCGAAGGCGCCCATGTATATCATAGCAGGCGGGGCGGGAAACATTGAAGGCTTGCGACCAATAGGCAAAAATGTTTCATACAATGCATTTGCGTACGCGGATGACTTTAGTTTCGCAAAGGTGTCGTTCAAGGACAAACAGAATCTGCAGGTTGACTTTATCAGGTCAAGGACGGGGGAAGTGCTTGACACGAGCGTATTGTACAAGGAGCATGCGGAAAAGGCCACTTTTTCAGACGATGAGTCTACTTCACTAGCTAGAAGGAGTATGGCATGGCTGGAGATTGTTGTGATGGTCGTACTTGTGATTCTTTAATAAATAACCGCATAATCGGGTACAAGGTAACCTGTACTCCCAGAAGAAATTTCCCCGTTGTTACTATATACGATGAGAGACGAAGCTGCTGTGGGTAAACGGTTGTAAGATAGCGGCACGGTCTCTGACGTCTTGAAATAAAGAGCCGAATAGGTAGTCGCATGTGCAGTTTACCAGACAAGTTTGGTCCATCACCTGCCGAGTCCGCCAAGACGAACCGGTTCGACAATCCTGGCCACATCGACGCCACTTGATGGAGACTGTCGATGCCAAGACGCTTCCCGCTCCGAGCCGATTCATCAATGCTACGCTGCTGCTTGGCATCCAGCCATCGCGTAGACGCCATCGGCAGGGATTAAAAGGCGAAACGAGCGCTGCGCATTTCGTCATTGGCGGCCAAAGTCCATAATTTACGCGCATGTTGAATAGACATGTTGATATACTCATTAAATGGCGTTGAATCAGCGCGGCCTGTAGATTTGATCTCGCCGGAACAGAACACGCCGTCGGTAATGCCGCTTATAGGCTGTGAAATAGAGAAAGCCCTTCTGACTGGGGAGCGGCAAACTAACACGCACGCGACGCCAATTTGTTCCATTGGACGAGTTTGTGTATAATACATGTCGCAGTGATGGCAAATTCTGCTAGGAAGTCTGACTACTTTTGGTGAAGTGAATGTGTACTATGGACATGTATGTAGGTGTGCTGAACGACCGAGCTGGCCACCTAATCGACCTCAAACAACGCATGTCAAACTAGAACATCTTGTGGATGAGGCGTCTCCATGCCGGCAAGGCGGCCACCTTGGCTCTATAGGCATTAATGTCGTCCCAGTCCAGTTCACGACGTCCTGTGTCGACATCGATCTGTGGGGTTCGCAACCATCCCTCGCGCTTCCAGAGGTAGCCAACGGCCCAGAAGAAGAGAATGACAGGAGCGGCGAGGTACTGCTGGAAGAAGGTCTCGGCCGTCGCCATGCCAGACTCTCCGGGCGGTGCCGTAATCGCAGAGTAAAACTGGAAATCCGTGTGTTAGTTGAAGGGCTTTTAAAAAAACTACAGAGTGGCCGGGGGACGAGGCACAACTCACCTGTGCCATCAGGACAACGACGCAGAGGAAAAGGCCCAGCCAGGAACCGTAAACGCCTCCCGCAGCTCTGAATGGAATTTCATCGACGGTGTGACCATGGTATGCCCACGCCTTGCGGAACCGAATGTGAGCCACACAGACTGAACCCCAGGTAAAGAGTGTGGCGAGACCGGAGATGGAGAGCAACCACGTGAAGACGACGGGTCCGGTAGCGCTAAGACTGACAAAGGCAATAAAGCCAAAGAGGATGATGAGGATGACTGAGAACAGAGGTCGGCCAGATTTATCAATGTATGTAAAGATTTTAGGGGCGTACTTTTGCTGCGCGAGGGCCGTGAGCGTTCGCGAACCTCCATAAACAGCCGAGACACTAATAGACATGACAGAAACAAGAATGACGAGATTCATGAAGTGGTCAAATCCGGTAAGGCCTGCGTATTTACCGACAAGGACAAACGGCGATGCCTTGGGGTCATTGTAAGCTCCCGCATTCAGCAGGGCCGGATCCGTGTCCTCAATAAGGAGCCCGACGAAGAAGAGACCTAAAATGTAGAATAGGGTGATTCGCCAGAACACCTGCTTGATAGCGGTGGGCATGGTCTTGACGGGGTTGTGAGACTCTGCGGCAGCCAGGCCGACCAATTCCGTACCGGAAAATGAGAAGGCTGCCGTCACGAAAACGGAGCAGAATCCCTTGAAGCCGTTTTTAAAGGCGCCCGGATTATGCCAGTAGCGCGCGCCCCAGTACTCATTGTATCGACCGTCCGAGGGGCCGCCGCCGCAGACCAAGACGAGCGCGATAATCATGAAGATGACAATGGCACATAGCTTAAATAGGGATGCCCAGAATTCTTCTTCAGCGTAGCCCAGGGCGCCAAAGATATTAATGATGACGATGACGACGAGGAACACGGCAATCCACACGCCGACAGATATATCGGCATTCCAGTACTGGATTGAAATACCACACACTGTCAGCTCGAGCGGTAGCACCGACGCCCACTGCAGGACATAGTTCCATCCCATGGCGAAGCCCCATGAGGGGTCGATGAAACGGGCTGAATAGGTGTAGAAACTACCGGACACGGGGTACATGATGGCGAGCTCTCCGAGCGCGTGGACTAGAAACGAATCGATGAGCATGTGAGACGTTGCGGTGCTGCGTCACAAATACGTACCGACATTAAACATCATGACACCGATGATTAAAAAGTCGATAAAGAGCGATCCCGGTCCCTGTTGAATTGGTCAATCCTCCTTTCCCACCAGAGACATTGTACATATCGACGGGCATGTACTTACGCCATTTGCCAGCGCGCCGCCAGAACCGACAAAGAAGCCGGCGCCAATGGAGCCGCCAATGGCAATCATGTTCAAATGGCGCGCCTTCATCGGGCGCTCCAGCTCGACAATGCCCCAGCCATAGTGCTGCTTCTTGAACGACTCGGCGTTGAGGCCGTTGCGCGTCATGAAGTCAGGGTGCGGCTCGCAGATGACGGCATCCTTGGACACGACTTGCGAGGTGCCCTCGATGGGAGCGTGCGCGGGACCCTTCTCCGCGTCGGAGAAGGGCACAGCGTCCATTTCCTTGTGTTTATCCGACATGGTGGAAGCGCAAAGCAGTGTTGCTTGCGTCGAGATGGGGGGGAGACCAGAAGTGCGGCAGGACGCTTATATGAAGCAATGCTCCCCGAGACGCGACTTGAGCAACGCCGAGCAGACAACAGGAATTCTCTCTCCAAGGGTGGGAAGCCCCGACATATGAAGCTTTCTTCTGGAAACTTTCCTCATGCACCAAAAGGGTGGCTTACGGCCGCCGCATGGTCAGCGGCCTTCTCTCGCGCGCTCTTCCAACCAACGCTCCGGGCGTTGATAGCTCTGCCCTCGCGCACAATTGGCCGCCTGCTCTTGGTGGAGGATGGTTGGCAGATGTCGAATTTTATGTCGTGCTCCCGTGACAGGGGTGGTTAGCTCGCAGCCAGTGGCGACACATGGCGTTTTTCTAGACGATCAGCAGCACCACGGCGTGGAAGCAGGACGTCGGGATGGCCTCAGTGGCATAATGGGCGTGGCGTGGGCGCATCCGCGGCCTGGCTTGCCCGGCGTGGATTGTCACGGCACGCCAAGACGGCAATCTGAAGTCGAGTCGTCGTGGGGTGCTTGGAGTCTTCTTGGACACGTCGTCGTCAAGACTCGGCCGCAGCTCGATGCCGCCAAGCATGAGGGCATCACAGCAACGAACGGCCGCAGAACCCCGGTCATGCGCGCTAGCTTCGTCGTTCAAAACGATCGAGACTCAATTTCCCTGCATACGAGGATATTGGCCAGCAAAGGGGCCTTGCACGACGAGGAGGATCTTTTGGGCAGCTCGAAGACGTGGCGCTAGCCCAGGTGTGTCAGATCCCAGGTCGTGGCGCTCTCAGGCCGGCAACTTTGTTCCGAGTTTTGGTTGCAATCTGCGGGGATACGTCTGCGGCCTTGAATGTTGGTCCCATTTCAAGTCCCGTCTGCGTGTGTGTCTGCGTGTTTACTCCGTACTGCGTGAGCCTGCGAGGCGTGTGCATGTCAGCCGGGGGGGCTGATAACCAACATTGAAGGCCAAGATCGACATCGAGGCGGCCAGTGACAGCCAACAGCTTTGTGCGTATGACGGTAGAGTCTGGTTGATGTGAGGGAAGAAAGGTACGGAGCACTCCCGTATCTGGTATATCGCAGAAGAAGTGGGTCCGCTACAAAAGCTGCACCTTCGCACAGTCAAAGGATTTAGATTGGTGATAAGCTCGCTTCAAGGCACCAGGTTGGCTTGGAGTTGGCCAGAGTTGGGCGCCATCTCGCGCAATCATGACGCTCCAAGACGCAGTCTGAGACACAATCAACCTCCGTGGCAAACATCCGTCGCCAAAACTCACGATGCTGCCGCGATACGGCGAGGAGCCGTGGCGCCAAGATTGCCCGTTCTGCCAACATTTGAACCCTTCGAGAAGCATTTGATAGCGACGGCGTTCCTCAGAGCACGGCCGGGGAACCAGGAAGTTGCCCCCAATCCGGCTTTTGGTCCGCCCGGGGCGCATCACAATCAAATGCCTCATGTGACATGTCCCCTTTGCACAATTGACTTTGGCCTCCATGACACGATGAGCTGCCACCTGGTATGAGTCTTGCTGCGCTTTTTAGAGGCTGTTTCTGAGACCCGTTTGATGCTTAATATAAGCGTTCACGCTCGCTGCTACGCGCCCACGTTTCCACGTTTCCATGTTCCAAGACCTTTTGCTTCGGACCAAGGATTGCTACATGTCATCGTGGGTGTCACATTCGCGTGTTGGCGTAGTATTTTCTCACCACCCAGCCACCAATCGCCCCCTCTCATTCGCTAGAGCTAATCCGCGCCCCATAATTCAAACCCCATTCTGCCCCCACCATCGTCATTCGACTCTCATCAGTCTCAACTCACTCACTCTCTCACTCACTTACTCACCCACCCCGCGGTTTTCATGGTTGGCATCGACTTCATCAGTTGGCCGTTCGCTTCTCCACCCGTTTTAATCAGAATCAAGTCATGCAGGCAGGCGGGAACGCCTCTTTATGCGGGGTACTTGCCGCCGCGCGCTATCTAATGTGTCTTGTTCCGCTTTCGTGGCTTGATTGAAACGTGAAAGCATCATTCGTACGGCTCTCGCCAGCTTGGGGGGGCGCAATCTGTTGCGTTTCAGCATGTTGATAAATCAGGAAAAAACGGAACATTCGGCGTTTTTCAGCCTCTGGCTCGAAAGAACCAGCCACGACAGAGTCGACTATCGGCTGGCATAGGCATAAGCTTAGTCTCTGACTTCTTCTGCAGCTGCCCATGATGCCCCCCTGCCGGCCAGGAAATATTCTGGAAGCCACACTGTCCCTGCAGTACCTATTCAATAAGTAATATGAATTCAAGTCGCCTTGTTATTTCTTCCTTGATGGCTCCTCTTGCCACCGGTATTCGCTACCCACAGCCCAAGTGGGCATATCTACATCCATAGTACCGATCTCACAAGCCGCCATTGTCACGTCGGTTCCACCTCTTTTCCCGGGGAAGCGGATTACCGTTAGTCACTGCATCTGCTTTGACAGCGGAAGACCCCATGTTATGGCCCGAGGTGGCGAAGAGAGCAGGATTCTAGACTAGTTGGCGTGTAATCGAGGCGGTACGCCCTAGACATGGTAATAACGATGTCATGACTCGCCTGTGATTACATTTCATTTCAACGCCATTTATACGCTCGGCTAGCCGTGGTATTGTGAACCGAAGGGCGACTCGGTCGAGCGGAATGCACAAGAAGCTCAAACGAAGGGGGGAATTGGTCCCGAAGTGTATCAAAACATAGGGTAAACTCTCAAAGAATGTTCAGACAAGGTTTCTTGAACAAGCTTGAACGACACCATACCCTGCACTCAAGGATTCTTTATTGTTGAATCTTAGCTCAATGCCTTCTATAGGTGTGCCATCTATTATTGGGGTTACCTTGACTACGCGCTCCGCGGTATGATGATTCGACAGTTTAGTGATATAATATATGATGCTGGCGTTCAGTGCTAGCCTCTATACAACTCCATATTAGCACTATATTGTCAAGTTAGAGGAGGCAGTTCTGGAGTGATAAGAATTTGACGTGGACAAAGATTTGGAAGAATGTTGCATATATGATGGCGGTTCAATTCGGACCTTGACTACAATCATAGATACTTTTCAAAGTAAAAGATTGAGCTATGAGTCTAGACCAAAAAGCGGAGAGAGCTGGGACTGGATATTGCTGTAGTATCGTTCCAGTACAAACGAAAGTGGGTTGGCTTATCGCGTGACATGCGAGTAAAAAGAGTAAGCTACTGTCGTTAACATTTTCAAAATAAGAACTTACAATAGCCGGCCTGCCTTCTCCATCAACACAGGAGAAGGACGCAGCTAGGTCTAGGCATCTAGTGAGTCATGGTTTTCCAGGGCGAATGTGGGTTCTTCTTCTCCTTGAGACAATCTTTATAAACAGAGAATTCTCGTATTCCGTTGGAGAGATTATATCACAATACCCCTAAGTTTCACACCTAAACAAAGGTCATGTTTCGTCCCCTGATGGAAGTTCTTCATATAGCTGTCCAAACTGAGCATACTTGCTCTGCACCATCTCTGGGAGTCGAACAAAACTGCCTCTGGTAAATTGAACAGGTAGGTTTGAAGTCATTCCGTGACATCATAAACATACGGAGCAAATATCATATCGTTCAACAGCTGGGAAGACCTCCAGAACAGTGATAAATAATATAAACGTTTCCAGCAAGAAAGAAAACTATAACATAAACGAATTTAAATTAAAAGTTTAGTGAACGATGAGCCTCATACTGTGACAAATCTATACCATCAAAACAGGAGCAAAATGCTCTTTATTCGCCAAATAATATTGACACATCTCTCTCACCAATTCCAATTACCCGCCTGCGACTCTTGCCTACTTAGTTGCCAACGAGTACTCCATGTCAACCAAAAAAAAGGCCTTTACTAAGAACTAGAACCTGCTAGACTAGTCACAATGATTACACTGCTTTGCTTTCTCCGCACCCCAGGCCTGGCTCTTAATGTTACTACTTAGCCTTACTTGCCCTGATTTGACTGCCACCAATTTAATTGCCACCCTTTTGCTTGCCGCCCTTTTGATTGCCGCCAGTTTGGGTGCCGCCAGTTTGGTTGCCGCCAGTTTGGTTGCCACCAGTTTGACCATTCCCGGCGTTATTCTGGCCATTCTGTGGGTTTCCACCTTGGTTCTTTCCGCCGTTTTTGAGAAAATCTTCCAAGCTCTTGAGGCTAATCTGCTGTTCTTTCAGGATAATATCGAGAGTGTCGGCTGTGGTAATATCATCCGGCGATCGAACGCCTCCGTTGTTGCTGTTCTGGTTACCACCAGCTCCGGTATTCTGGTTACCGCCAGCTCCGGTATTCTGGTTACCGCCAGCTCCGGTATTCTGGTTACCGCCAGCTCCGGTATTCTGGTTACCGCCAGCTCCGGTATTCTGGTTACCGCCAGCTTTGCCGGGTTTCCTGTTGCCAGTACCGGTATTCTTCGAACCGTCGCCGCCTTTCCCACCCTGCTTGGCGTTTTCAGCCCGCTTGATTCTCATCCCTCGTCTGTTGATAGGATTCTTCGCGTTTCCTTGACCTTTGTTTCCTTGGCCTTTGTTTCCTTGACCCTTATTTCCTTGGCCCTTATTTCCTTGACCCTTATTTCCCTGACCTCCATTTCCTCCTAGGCCGCCATCTCCTAGATCATTGTTTCCTTGGTCGCCGTTGCCTAGACCACCATTTCCACCATTTCCACCATTTCCTACACCACCGTTTCCTGCACCACCGTTTCCTGCACCGCCGTTTCCTGCACCTCCGTTTCCTGCACCTCCGTTTCCTGCACCGCCTTTCGTGACATCTTGTAACGCCACGCAGCCGCCAAACGGCCCAGCGTCGGCCAGGTTACGAATGCGGAGAGTGCATGCATTGAGGTCCTTGCCTGTTCCCAAAGTCAGCATACATTTGCAATCCCGGAGTCTGACTTGGGGCACATACCGCCCTCGCATTTCATATCATTAGGCAGTGGGATCTGGACATCGAAAGCTGTAAATGCGTTTCGTTGAATACCATTCTTTCCGTCAATGCCATCAACTTTACCAAGTTCCTAACCGATCCATTAGATTTGGAGATAGCTTCACGCCGCAGGATGGAGGAGCACTCACTCGGAAGATTCCCACATTGCTCTTCTCGTCAATGTCGGCAAAGTAGGGACCGGAGCCGTCTGTGTTGACGACGAAAACCGTCATAGTCAGGGTATCTCCCGGCTTACAATTTGCGATTTGGTTGTTTTGAATCGCAATCTCCGTTTCATTTGCCACGTCAATATTCGTTTGCAGCTTGGTCCGCCCGCACCCATTGACTAGGAGATTGTCCTTTTCTTTTGTTCGGATAATAGGACTATCCAGTTGGAACGGGGTGGGGTCCTCGCCGTCGATGGGAATATTTGGGTTCGCTGGATAAGTGTTTTAGCATAAAAGCCAATGGCTGAAAGGGATAGCTGGCAGGGCTCGCGACTTACTGCCCATTCCAATACTCGAAGTCTTTCCTCCATCACAAGACGCCTTTTGGATCTTGGAATGAGCGCTGCCTAGGGAGCATAGCGCGCTCAAGGCGAGAAGGCGCCGGAGACTTAAATGATAGGCCATATCTGCTGTGAGCTACAGAAGAGAAGCTGGCTAAAGCACGCGCTGCGAAAAAAAGGGAAAGAGGGTGATGATCAGAATGTCGGGGGTGCAGAGGAGCCCAGCTCCCAAGAATGTTAATGAGAGAATGTAAAGATACAAATGCGACGATTAGTTGTAGAACGCTGTGGAAAGCTGCTTGACTGCATTGGGGCTCATGCGAGTTATTATATAGATTCGGCCTTGAATCTCATGGTCATCCCTTGTGTGAAGCACAAAAATCCGGGTCAAACTTGGCCAACGCAGACAAACGGTTTCGTCTGCACTCGCAATTCATGCAGATTGATGTGTTTCGGCTTTCAGGGCACTCACTTCGTTGTCAAGCGGGAACATACCAAAGGAGGGGATTCTGACTCGTAGTGTATCACTTTGCCTTTGTGTCTTTGGGTCAGGCGCGTACTCGGAAAGTGAGCAAATTCGGAACACCAAAAATTGTGGGATATTTCTTGAGACATTGGTGGTTTTGGAAAGGCCACGAGCTATGCTTGCTGAGATGGGGTCGAAATCCGTCTTGACCAGGAGAGAAAGGCGGAGAAGAATTATCAAGATTCAAACGGGCGCATCCAAGATCAACCGGGGCAGAAAGACAAGAGATGTTATGAAGCGGCATCGTCATCTCATCCCACCTTGGGTAGCAGATTTGCGGTGCCTCGTCCCGATGCAACCTTGGATCAAAGTCAGTGATGGAAATCGCATCATTGTTTTAGTCTAGCACGCCCGTAGTTGTTATTTTTAGCGTAGCGATTGACTGATGTGCCTTAAATAGATGGCGTAGATTGCGTTTTCCTTGGACAATCTCTTGCCCCTTTGCAACTCTACTTCCTCTCCAGCGCAGGGCTACATCATGTCCCCACGATTCAGCCGGTCCAAGAGATGTCACTACCTCGATTCAATACTCGGCAAGGCGGGGGGGGTTGCCAGAAGAGGAGACGCGCGCCGAGAAGCAACAGACCGGAGTACGCTGAATAATGGCACTGCGGCAATAACGCATGACAGGGGCCGATTTCTGACGTTTCTAACCGGAACAACCAGGATGGTGGTAGAGGGAAATGATTTGACAAGGCCCAGCGGGCAGTCCATTCCGAACTCGTAGAGGGACAGTATCAAGCTTATTTTCGAAGCAGAAAATAGTTTGGCTGACATGGAGCTCAATAAGTTCCTGTAGTTGCGCGGCCAATGTTGCCGTCACTTCTCAACGAGGTGGAGCCTACTGCGCTTGCTCGATGCGAGATGGCGACGTAGAAAACGTCTAGTGAAAACAGATTTTCGGGAAGGATCTGTTGAATGCCAGAGCTGATCGGATCGTCGTGGCGACGGGAGCATCATGGCACCATGGCAATGGCGCTCTGAGGAAGGGAGCCGTAGGATGAGAGCTCGTGCCGCGGCGAGATGAAACAGCTTGTGATACACATGGCCTGATACCGTCGTCGCTTGGCCGAATGTTTCGAATCCTTCTTACTCGCGCCCTGTATCCATGCTGTCCATTGCCGCCCGAACTCATCCAATCCTGCCCACATGGCAGCCCGAGTCAAGCCGCGATTCGTTCCGTCTTGTCGCACGTAATGTCTGGTACCAAGATGATGCAGCCTCGAGTGTGGAGCTTCATTTTTGGACTTGCACGTGAGGTCTGGTCTGGTCACTGGTGCTTTTTGTGCACATGACATGGCACATGTGACGTCGTCGGTCCTAATCTGGCGCGTTTGGCTTAACCCGACGCAATTCTGTCAATCAGGTGTTTCTAATTGATATCGCACATGCAGAGCTCCGCCGTAATTAATACCAGACGTAAACACCCAGTCTCAGTCTCAATTACATTGTCAGAAAGAATGCACCACGTTTGACAACAGATTAGTCTATGAAAAGGCTAGATGCAAAGGCAAGGATGGCAAAATCATGCTCTACTCTGATAATCGTCCAAGGTCTAAGCAAAGGGCCGGAGGAAGAAGAAAGCGCAGATGGCTTTTCATCCGCAAGCGAGGCTGTTTGCCTATACGCGATCACGTGAGACCCTCAACACAGTCATCCACCTGTGTTCTCGAAAACATGTCCGACATGGCACCCGTGACGTTTCAAGGCCTGCCCGAATACAAGAGCCGCGCAATGCCAGAGCCGGAAGCTGTTGATACAAACTTAATTCGTCCGCCTACTGCCATCTACCGAAGGCTCATGTCTCATCCCTAACTCATACGTTGCTTGGCAGCTTAAATGCTCAGTTGCTACGGGATACGAGTCAAGCACACCCCACACAAAAGCCCCTTATTACATGTCTGTGTTGGAACTTGGAGGTGTAATGGGCGCTGTACGGAATCACCTCGAGTAGTGTGACTGCAGGGGTATGCACAGCCATGCAACACAACAAGGAAAGCTCCGACAGCTCGAATCGCTCACCAGAGACGCCTCCAAGATGATATATTAAACCCTACGCCGTCGGCTCCAGAGAAGCAATGAATAGTTTACACACTACACAAATATTTGAACACGCTTACACGAGGGACATCTTCACGAGACCTAGGGCATAAGGCTCTCGCCGACTTCTTTTGTAAATAGAGCTCTTTAATCATCCAGGCCGTGAAGAAAACCAAAGACCTTTGATGACCAAGACTTGTTATTAGCTGAATAGAGCTATCATCTTAAGCCCTCCCTAAGCCCTTGTCACACGGTGGCACAGTGAAATGCAACACGGAATTTCCGTCTTGTTAGATTTGCAAGCACTGCTTGCCTGCTTGAATCTTTGGTCGCTGACAGGCGAAGCATGACCACAGGCCAGAGCGAGCCGCAGGCGGTCCCCGGCAGAGGATAATTGAAAGGCCAGTGGTCTCGCCCGTTTTGCCTGCCCTGAGGACAACTTGATGGTTGGCATCACGGTCTTGTAATATATTAGTAGACTAGTTTTGTATAGCGGCGTGCCAATAAAGGTTATTACCAGGTAGCCTGAGCTATTATGTGATTAGAAGTAAAATTTAGTTTGTGCGAGTGACTCACTCTAGAAACCTAAAATGGCCACACATAACATATGTTAAGAAGGTCTGCGCTCGTAAGTAACCTATAATTCCTCCTGTCTCTCTTCACTTATTCTGCAAAATAAATCAATCCCTTTCCCTAATCTTCACTGCCCAGGCTCCATCTCAAGGTTTAATTATTTCATCTTTATAGTCGTCACCATCTATGGCTGCACCAATCACACCCCCTTTTTTGCCACTACACGGGCCGCCATCTACTCGAGAACACTGGTTTTTTCTAGAACGCTCCGAGGAAGAAGGAGCTCATCGACACTTCATGTACCTTTATGCGACCGGCAATATCTATTGTCCGTCAGTTTTACACATCGACTGTTTGCCCCGGATGTCAGGCCGAGACTTCTGTGATACATGCAACAAGTCGGTCCCTTTTTACATTCTGCCGGATCCGAAAACGGCGCTATTAAAGATGGTGCTCCACAATTACGTTTACCGCCGATGGTTTCGTCCATACCAGAGCGAGATCGATCATATGCGATTTATTTGCAAGCCTATAGAGCCACGCGACCTCCCCGAGGAAAGTGTGCCTTCTCGATCTACTATCACCACCCTTATTTCTTTGAATAAAGCCATATGCGATAAAACAGAAAGGCGACGCCATGTCTATAGGCTAATACGCCATAGGGCGAGACGGGATGGAGTCGACTATAAGAATCATATTCTGCAGCCACTGTTCCGCGCACTGCTCGTCATCATCTGTTCAAAGGGGTATAATAAAGAGGATTCTAAGCATATAGGCCCACTTCCCGTCGTCTTGGTATCTACGGGGATAGAAGATGGCCTCAGCGCACCTATTAAATTTGACTCTATCAAGGACAAGATTCTTGGCTATGTGGAAGGGATGAATAGAAAGGCCGTGGAAACTACATTGGAGGTAGCTGTTGATTTTGTTATGGGCCTAGAGGCTAGAGAAGTTGAAGTGTTTGGCCTCCAACCTGATCCAGTATTGGTATGGCGGGCACACCCCAGTGTTATCGAGATGTGGGAGAAACTCGAAGGAGACCAACCATTATTTGGGCCTAGCTCTTGGTACATGGATGTAAAGAAGTGGACATCGTGGCAAGGGACGGGAGAGCAGAATGACAGGTGGATCATGGATCAATATGAGAAATGGGCGTTCAGGAATCACGATAGATGGGAGGCAAGAAAGGCAGCTCGCTTGGAGGAATCGAAAGGTTTATAGTCATTTACGGAGTCTGTGAATTGGCTTCACCTGGCAGTTCAAGTCCATCGGTTGGCTCCCATATGCGCTCAGGCAAATAGCTGGGCTATGCTGCTGAGGTTACTGGACACCTATCGCGGTACCCCAACCAACAAAGGGTTCAGACGCGCAGACTCATATAGGTGTCCCTCAGAGAGGAGAGCAAGTTCCTCACATCAACAGAATGAAGCTTCTTAGGATAGGCAGGGGATTCCGCGCATTTTATACCCTAGGATAGTGCCAGATCACACATCCGTCATCGGGCTCCAGATCAGCAGTGGGCTGCGGCTATTCTCATCAGTTGCGTCTGTCGAGCTTTGACCCCTCGCATTTGACTTCCCTGAAATGAGTAACGACGCCCGAGTTTATATGACGGGGTACATAGGTTACCTGACGGTGGCCCGCCATGAATAGCAGAAACACTCGGGTGTGTAATGCCCCTACCGGCCAAGGTATTTTCTTCCCCGAGCCAAAAGACTCCTGGCTCTGTGACCTGAATCAGAGACGATCGACTTTTCAGGACATTCTCAAGTTTATCGAAATAGCACGGCCTAGTTGGGGGATTTTGAGGCAGCTTTGCGGTGCTTCCGTTGCTCTTTTCTCGACATCGGCCTGTCGGGGGCAGTCGCCGGCGGCGTCGTCCGAGGGACTTCCTCCAAAAACCAGCACAGATACGGCAAGGGTTCGATATAGAAGGCTTAGAGCAAAGGGGCTCAATTCAATAATAATCTCAAAGGGTCTCTAAGATCTTAAGTTACTATAAGAGAAGAAGAGAAAAGTAACTACCGTATATATATAAAAGGAATACCTAGGCTTAAGGCTCTTACCTAGGTACTTGTTTAAGCTATATAAGTAATAAGTCCTGTATTAGTAAAGCCCCTTTATTAAGCATTATAATCTGTTGGGCCTTTTCCGTGTAACACCGGCGGCGTCGTCCGAGGGGCTTCCTCCAAAAACCAGCAGAGATACGGCATTCCGTTCAGCTCGCGGGAGAATGCTCGCACCCTCGATATAGCTCGGCGGCAGAATAAATCTGGATAGGTTGACAACATTCTGGTCGGGCCGGTGCCGTGAGAAGTCCCTAGTAACGCGAAGAAGTCGTCCGTCCCAGCGTGGACATCTACTTCCGCCTACTCTCTTCTACTATAAACGGCGCAGATTCTCTCCTCGGTATTCTAATACCAGCTTTATTTAGAGCGGATAGAATATGTTCTTTTACTAACTATTAGCTTATTATTAATTTTTCCTTACTAAATTAATATAATAAAATATAATAAAAT